TAAAGAAGGTCATGTGTCCCTCATGCTGCTGTCTGTCTGCAGAGCCCAACACCAACCTCGGAGGATCCTCTGGCTGCGTGTCTTCCTGCAGAAGAGGCCAGAGGGGAGGAAGATGCTCCCCAAACTGCACCTGCTGCCACTGCAGGGCCTGAGCATCCAGCATCAGTAAGTGGCAGCTCTGGGTAGTGCTGTGGCTGGAGCAAAGCATAGCTGCAAGTTTCTGATCAGACAGCACCTCCCGTGACTGACTGAACATGCTGAGGCCTGGAATCTTTCCAGTAGTGGTGCTTGGAAAAGAGGAGTGGAACTTGGATTGTTTAGGCATCACCTTCCTGCTGTTCTGAAAGGGGCTGTGAATTTGTCTTAGCAAGAGACAAGAGGTAGCATTAGGATGTCTTTGGATGCTCCTGGGGTACAAGTGAGGCCCTTGGTGGCCAGTGGCTGTGCAGGCTCCCTGTCCCCTGTGAGGAGAGCAGTGCAAAGATGCAGTTCAAAAGCTTGCAGGATATGAGGTGGCACTGTCCCCAGGAGGGACCTGGCCCTCCCCACAGAGCAGCTGTCAGTAGCTAAAGGAAGAGCTGAGCTGCAGCGGGGCTGGTAGCTGAATATAGGTAAGGTGGTGAATGACAGGTTCTTCCTGTCCCTCATGCTGCTGTCTGTCCACAGAGCACAAGGGCAGCGTCAGCACCTGCTCTGGCTGCCTCTGTACCCGAGGAAGAGGCTGAAGAGGAGGAAGGTGCCAATGAACCTGGCCCTGCTGTCAGCCCAGGGCCGGAGCAAACAACATCAGTAAGTGCCCCCTTTGAGTAGCAGCGTCTTTGGTGTCATTTTCTCCATCATGTAAAAGCAGCCTTGGGATTTTGTGCCTTGAGCTGTTGAAGCGAGCTGCACAAGCTGGGAGGTGAAGAACCCTGGGTGTGGACAGCAGCATCTTCCTAGGGGTGAAATGGGATGGGCATCTCTGCCAGCACATTTGTGACCCAAATTCATTTCTTGTCCCAGAGCTCCACCTCCTCTGTCCTGGCAGCTGCGGGAGCTGCACCTGAAGGCTGGGAAGAAGGCTCCAGTGCCCAGGCTGGAAGCTCAAGCACGAGCAGCTCGTGCACCTGGAGCACGACTAGCTCCTCTGGCAGCAGAGAGCAGCAGCAAGAGAGCACAGAGGACAAGTGCCTGGCCATGCTGAGTAGGTCCTTTGTGATCCTTGTGTGCCGGAGCAGTGCCTTGTGTGTGCGTGTGTCGGCATGAGCTGTCCCACCTCCTGCTCCTGCTCAGCTGAGTGCCAGGTCCTGAGGCCTCCACACAGGACCTGTTGTTGTGCCCTGAGGTGGTGAGGGATCAGCGGGGTGTTGCTCCTGCCTCTGAGAGCAGCTGGGCCTGGTTTGGCTTTGCCTGAGCTTCCCTGTAGGCAAAAGGCCAAGCAGAGCTTGCTTCTGGCTGAGCAGGAGGCTGTGACCTAGCGAATGAGTAGGCCTCAAGGAGCTCCTGCGGGGCCCAGCTGCTGTGGGCACGGCCAGGGTCATCTTCAGCACTCAGCCTGTCCTAAAGGCTGAGGGGCCTCATTCCTGAGGCCATCACAGTAGCTCATAACATGAGCTGCTGCTCCTGAAAGGCTGAAGGGCATTGTTTAGGCAAAGTCCTGCTTAAAGCTGGACATCTGGGCTCTGCTGGAAGCACTTTGCAATATTCTTCCTGTTCTGGAGAGAGCAGCTGATGAGAAAAATTGATGCCAGAACCCAAGATGCCTTTGATGTTTGCAAGGATGAAAGCTTGTGTTGAATGTCACGGAGTGTTCATTGCCAAGAACAGGAAGGTTTTGTTTTTCCTGCTGCCCTTAATGTTTATAGAAAACAATCATTTCTCTTGGTTAGAGTTTTCTGATCCCTGTCTCCTCTGACTGTTTCTCCATGTGCTTAGATTGCAGTTTAGACTTTTAGTTTAGTGCAGGCCATCTGTGCTGCAGGGCTGCTTGTCTTGCTGCTGCTGTTTTTGAGGTGGTGCTGGTGCGGTGGTGTTGTTGTTTCCCGACTGACTGAGTTGAGAGGGCCCAGTGTCCCAGAGGGTGGGGCTGCCTTTGTGATCTGCTGCAGGGTGTGATCTCTTTTGAAGTGAGCATCTTTCCTTGGGCTTTTTACAGAGAAGCTGGTGAGCAAGGGAGATCCTGAGGCGAAATACACAGAAGTGGAAACTCTTGGCAAAGGGTGAGTGCAGCCACAGTTCCTTCTTCAAAGGGAGGGGCTGTGCATTTTGCTGGTGTCACATCTCCCTGGAGTGACAATCTCCAAAGCTGTTCAGACACATCTTAGGATGATGCCTGGTGATCTCTCAGTGCTGGCCAGCATTTATAGCTGTGGTCTAAAGGCACAGCAGAGACACCGGGATGCTGACAATGTCTTTGCTGCAGCAAAGAGCAGCACCTGGCAGATCTCCTGTCCCTCAAGTGTGTTTGCACCTGTTTGCCGCTTTTCATAGGAGACATAATTTTTGAGTGTCTCAAAATAATACAAAATACGTGGGAATGAAAGGAGGAGAAACCCCATTGCCTCAAAGGTCAAGTTAGCTATCAGGAAGCAGCTCTCGGTAACATTTCTTTCCTGTATTTTGCTGAAAACAAGATTCAGTGGTCAGGATGACCACCAACTAGTGTAGAAGCCAAAAGCAGAAATGAAAGCAGCACCTCTCTTTTGTGACTGAGGTGGCAAAAGACAAAGCTTCAGGGGAATGCCCAGTGCCAATGCAATCTAGAGGAAAAGGCATCATCTGCCTGATGGCAGACCCCTCGTGGATCCTGTGGGGTTTAGGCCTTTGCTGCAAAGAATCCACCAAGCTGTTCCCCTTGAAAGCCAGCTCTGCTGACTGTAGATGGGATTCATTTGCAACATTTTCTCTGTACCATGTGTCCTGGTTTAGGGCAATTTTGGGAGGAAACCTCCCGACAGGGCCCCTCCCAAAAGGAAACCCACATGGCCACTGCCCCCAGCCGGTGTGGGAACAATTTCCTTGGAGATAAGTGGAAAGAAGTTGTTTATTTAACAGGAAAAACACTCCCCAACAGACAAAATGAGCAATCATAGATGATAACACTCATTTGCTGCTCTGAAGAGATGGCAAGTTCAGAAAGTCTCTCCTGGGGGTTGTCACTCTGTTATTTGTCCCTCCAGTGCTGGGAAAGGCTGCAGAGTAGGCCCTGGTGGGCTACAAAGTGTGAGCCCTCGGTGTTTTGCCAGGTCCCAGTCTGGAGCAGGTTCGAATGGTTCCAAGAAAGGGGAAAGAAAAACAGTAAAGGGTAAACTCAGACTGCCTTAGCTAGCTAAACTAACTAACTAACTAAAAAGCAGAAGGAGTGTGGTGCTCTACCCCAACTGTGCCCAGACAACAACACTGGAGTTCCGTGTTCCAGCAGACTGCGGGGGAGAGTGCAGTTGATAACAAAACTCTGTGCTCCCTCTTCTCCTGACACCTACTGTCTGATCCAATCTTGGAGGCACAGAATATAACATCCAGCATAAACAGAACAGGTGACTGGGGGTGCAAGCATCATAATGTCACCCCAGAACAGAAGCCAAATGTACAAGAAGCCACCAGAACAGTAGAGTCCTTCCAGTGTCAGGTGCACTGAAGAGAAGCAGCTGCCAATGGCTCTGGACCCAGAGCACAGCTGTCTAAGGATCCTGTGTTTTGAGGACTTCTCCATTTGTGTGTGCAGCAATAGAAGGCTTTGCCTGCTCTGGCTGTGGCTGGACACTATTTTCCTTGCAAGCTGGAAAAGGAATCTGTGTCTGCTTGAGTTTGGAAGACAGACTCCTAAGAGAGGTGTAAGGAGACCCAACCGTCAAATTCCTGGAAAAATCCCACACATGCATAGATAGAGAAAGAGAAAAAGGATAAAAGACCCAGAGAAGAATCTGTAGGCAAAAGGCCAAGCAGAGCTTGCTTCTGGCTGAGCAGGAGGCTGTGACCTAGCGAATGAGTAGGCCTCAAGGAGCTCCTGCGGGGCCCAGCTGCTGTGGGCACGGCCAGGGTCATCTTCAGCACTCAGCCTGTCCTAAAGGCTGAGGGGCCTCATTCCTGAGGCCATCACAGTAGCTCATAACATGAGCTGCTGCTCCTGAAAGGCTGAAGGGCATTGTTTAGGCAAAGTCCTGCTTAAAGCTGGACATCTGGGCTCTGCTGGAAGCACTTTGCAATATTCTTCCTGTTCTGGAGAGAGCAGCTGATGAGAAAAATTGATGCCAGAACCCAAGATGCCTTTGATGTTTGCAAGGATGAAAGCTTGTGTTGAATGTCACGGAGTGTTCATTGCCAAGAACAGGAAGGTTTTGTTTTTCCTGCTGCCCTTAATGTTTATAGAAAACAATCATTTCTCTTGGTTAGAGTTTTCTGATCCCTGTCTCCTCTGACTGTTTCTCCATGTGCTTAGGTTGCAGTTTAGACTTTTAGTTTAGTGCAGGCCATCTGTGCTGCAGGGCTGCTTGTCTTGCTGCTGCTGTTTTTGAGGTGGTGCTGGTGCGGTGGTGTTGTTGTTTCCCGACTGACTGAGTTGAGAGGGCCCAGTGTCCCAGAGGGTGGGGCTGCCTTTGTGATCTGCTGCAGGGTGTGATCTCTTTTGAAGTGAGCATCTTTCCTTGGGCTTTTTACAGAGAAGCTGGTGAGCAAGGGAGATCCTGAGGCGAAATACACAGAAGTGGAAACTCTTGGCAAAGGGTGAGTGCAGCCACAGTTCCTTCTTCAAAGGGAGGGGCTGTGCATTTTGCTGGTGTCACATCTCCCTGGAGTGACAATCTCCAAAGCTGTTCAGACACATCTTAGGATGATGCCTGGTGATCTCTCAGTGCTGGCCAGCATTTATAGCTGTGGTCTAAAGGCACAGCAGAGACACCGGCATGCTGACAATGTCTTTGCTGCAGTAAAGAGCAGCACCTGGCAGATCTCCTGTCCCTCAAGTGTGTTTGCACCTGTTTGCCGCTTTTCATAGGAGACATAATTTTTGAGTGTCTCAAAATAATACAAAATACGTGGGAATGAAAGGAGGAGAAACCCCATTGCCTCAAAGGTCAAGTTAGCTATCAGGAAGCAGCTCTCGGTAACATTTCTTTCCTTATTTTGCTGAAAACAAGATTCAGTGGTCAGGAGGGATTCATTTGCAACATTTTCTCTGTACCATGTGTCCTGGTTTAGGGCAATTTTGGGAGGAATCCTCCCGAAAAGCCCCCCTCCCAGAAGGAAACGCACATGGCCACGGCCCCCAGCCGATTTGGGAATAATTTCCTAAGTGTTTTAGTGGAACAAAATGCAAATTCCTGAAGTGAGGACGTGCTAGGATTGTCTGTTTTGGAGGTGTCCTTAATGATGTTCTCATCATCATGGCATTTTTTCTGTGAAATATGTAGGGTTGTATTTCTTGGGGGGAAAAACCCTCATGATGTTTTTTGGACAGCATTGTATCTGTCCTGTCTGTAAGAGTTTGCTTTGTAGTTGTGCAATGGAGAATGCCAGTGGTTGCTGGAGGAATGATCAAGCCCCCTAGAAGTGCCCAAGGTTTCCCAGCACTTTTGCTCCATTTTTACTGGCACAAAATGGCTTCCTGCTTGCAAGAGGTGTGTCAGTGACAATGGGAATGATAAAGTAAGGCCCTGGGGGAAGCCTGTGGGCACAGTGAGTGTTGTTAGAGCTAGAGGTGGAGAGCTTAGACCCTGTTTACAAGGCAAAGGGTATCTGTCTCTCTGTCCAGGGAGGCTTTTGCTTGGCAGAAGCTTCACCTAAGGGAGCAGGGAGCAGTGCTGAGCTGCATTTTATAGAATAATCCTTGGAAATAGTAGAATGAGATGGAAGTCCATCTTCCATGTCACTTGTAGAGGTGGTGTCAGATATACGTTCGATAAAGTGATTATTGAATATCATTTACTTTGCGATGTTTGGTGGTAAATGACAGTATATTTGATGATAATTTAATTTTAAATTTTAGTTGCACAATATTTAACAGCTTTTCTTTCCCCCTTTTCCTATTCCATCCCCCACATCCCTGAACCCACTATCCCTGAGAAGGAGAGGATGGGAGATGGAACCTGCTCAAGAGCACAGGTGAACCACCAGCCATCTGCCATCTCCCCTCCTTTTCTGTCCCCTTGCCAGGACAGCACCGGCCATGCCACCCTGGAGTCTACCCTAACCCACTTTCTGACAGCCCTCATCCCTACCCCCACTTTCCTACTGTATTAGCAGTTCCCCATTTTTGTTGTAATTCATATTTCAGAAATTACTGATGTAGGTGACCCTTGGAAGCCAGTCAACCTAGTTATTTTATTTGTTTAAACACAAGAGTTGGCACTCTCCATACAGCCGGAGGAACAACTCTGTTGCCCTCACAGGAGACCTGTTCCCAGCCCTGTCAGAAGGTTCTCCACAGTCTAGTCCCCCATGAAAGCTTTTCTTTTGACTTGTGTGCTTGGTGAAGGGCACTCAGGGAAGATGCCACCACAAGTCCTTTTGATTTTGTTCTCTTTTGTTTTGTGGTAATTGAGGGGGAATGAAGTGGCAGGGAGCCACCCAGGACTCAGGCCCTTAGAAGTGAGGGGGAATGAAAATTGTATTTTCTTATTTTTTAGTTGTGCTCTGCAATATGAACCCACCTGTTTATTTAAATTCTAAAGTTTAGTTAAAGTCTATTAAGTATTTCATTGTTTTTAGTTAAGACAAGATTATTTATTTTAAGTATGATTGTTATACATTTCATTTTAAATCAAACAAAAAAGGGGGAGTTGTGGGAACTTGTCCTGGAGGGGATGCATCACAACCTGGCCACACATCAGGCAATCAACGACCAATACCAAGCACCTGATATGTCCTCTCTGTCCCACAACTTCCAGTGTTGCCAGGAGTGGCCCATTCGGGCTCACTGCTTTCCTCGTACCAGTACTTGGTGAGTTTTCCCAGTGTGTTGGAAGTTTCTTTTCTTTCTTTCTTTACATCCATAGCAGGCAGCTCCCTTTTATCCAAGGATGTGCCCAGGGAAACTCCCAGAGGTGCATCTCAGATGGGCAAGGCTCCTTGGAAATGCCACAGCAGTGCAGCAGCAGGATGATGTGTATGCAGTAGGTATGTTGCTTGGCTTTCCATGCTTTCCTTCATGCTACACTTTCATCCTACCACATTCATCCTACCCTAGGCCTCTGTCCCACCTTGTTCTGTGGTGAACATTTGAGGAG